CTTCCTTCCTTCCTTCCTTCCTTCCTTCCTTCCTTCCTTCCTTCCACCTGCCTAAGACTAATATAGCAACCTCTTTGGGAAATTTCATATAGAAACATTATTTCTGTCTTTAGTTGTTGCCACTTGAGGGCACTAATGTGTTTTCTTATGGATTCAGACTGTATCAAAAAGAAAATGTAGAATAGAATATAAAATGTTTGTATGTAGGAGATATAAAGTGACATATAGTCGGTTGAGTAGAAAGATGAATTGGATTTTATTAAAAAAAAATACTTTCCAAACATTGGGAAAATAACCAAAGAGTACAATTATTTCATATTTAACCAGAGATTAAATATAAATAATTATCTATTTAATTATTTATAAATGAGTGTAGTTGGCATGTTAAAAAGTGTTTTCTTTTGAAAAGAAAAGTTGATTGCAATAAAAATAATACATTATAGAAATTCAAAACAATTGAATAATTGAAATGAAATTAAACATACCGAAACCAGTGTTTCCATTCCACTAAAACCAAGTAACAGTGAAAAATATCAAATGATAAATGTTTTCAATTCAAGAATGCTTTTATGCAGTTATGAATCATACTAAATTGCAGATTTTATTGAGATAATTGCTAATGCTGTAAAACAGATTATGTACACATTTCCTAATAACAAGAAATAGCTCTTTGTTGTAGATCCAGATAGACTCCTGTAATGTCCAATTTTAACATTTTTGTCTTAATTCCTTTTTTATGTTCATATTTTACTTGAATGGTATATCTGATAATAAAGCAACACTCGTCCTGGTTTCTAAATTATGCCTTATTAACTACATGGAAACATCCACAGCTATATTCTTGACACATTTCTTTGTATTTTTGTCTTTATTTATTAAATTTATACACTGGCCAACTCCCAACGACTCTGGGCAATTCATATGCATATTTCCAGTTTATTTGTTCTTTGCATTAGATAAATGTCTTTAGTGTTACTTGTATATTTTTGCTGACTTTGATCAAAGGGAAAAGTAAAGTATAAAATGTTGACATTCGATAATTAAAATTTGGCTTCCAGATTTGCGAATCAGCCAATGTGGCATTTACCACCCTTTATTCCTCAACGGGACTCTGCAGTACTTAGAATGCTCAGCACCTGAATTTATGGCCCAATTTTTAAAGTACGTTCTGAATCATCACTGCCCAATCCATCATACCAAAGGGAATAGGTTTAAAGCTACTTTTTCTTGAATACCAGTTCCATTGTTCGTTGTAACATTCTTTTGAATCTGGACCTTTAAAAGCGCTTGTGATAAGGCATAGGAATTTGCTGTTCAATCCTCCCTACCACTAAAAACATGTTCATATAAAGTAGCTTTTGGATTTTGTACAAAAAATATTATAGTGTACACTTCTATCCGGTCTCCAGTATGTAGTATGAAATATTAATCTGACATTGCAAAATTTTAAAGTCTTTACGAATTATTCTAAATGGGGTACTGTTATATTTTAAAATGGTACTTGTTAGATTGTGTTCTTAATTTGCCATATTTTATTATTTTAAGTGGAAAATGATATATATTTCCATCAGATTATTTGGCAAAGTGGCAAAGCTTGACTCTACAGGAATCTGGTTGCTCAAATTATGAGGACATAAAAAATTACTAGGGCAAAATTTGATTTATACTATAAATACTTCCAAGCTATATAGATATATGTTTGAAAAAATTCAGCTATTTATACAATACAATGAAATAAATGAATTCAGTAATTCAGAGTTTGAGTTCATTGGCAACAGTTTCTTAAAATATATCACATCTGGATGTATGTTATGGTGGAAATGTATTGAAGAAAAATATGATAAGCAATAGGCTGCAGACTTAAGCAATCTGGCTTGGTTTTCAAAAACTGATATTACTTAGAGAAAAGATAGAGTTATAATCTAACAGACATAATAGTAAACTCTTCGTGTTTCTAAAAATATACTGTATTTTTCACAGTGTTCATTTTTGCCTTCTATAATCTTTTGTTGAAAGATATGATGCAGGCTGAGACTTTTCCCATAAAATTTAAATCTTACTCAATAGGCTTGAGATTGATATCCCAAGATTTGCTGAGTGAAGATAATACATTCCCCAAATAAAGCTTCCATATCAGGAATAGTCTTTTATCCTATGCTTTGAAGGATTGGCAAAGGAAAGGACAGAGAATTTTATGTTTTAAATCTTATGCAGTCTACATTGTAAGAATACAAAAATGTATAGAACATTTTAAATGGATTATGCAAATTGAAATTCATAAAAAAATCATAAAAACATATATTGCCAAAGCCTATTTTAAGAGGGCTGATTAAAGAGCTAATTTATTAATCAAGCATCAGCCTTTAAATACTTAAATGGAATTTCTTATTAGCCTACACATCTCTGATTATTCGCTGCAACTGAATTTCATTTGTGTATACACAGAATACTTTTTTGTCGAAATTAAAGAAAATTACAGCAGCGATTACTATTTTGGTATCGTTCATATTCTGTCCATAGTTCTACAAGTAGGGGAAAAGTTGTTTTTTACTTTTTGAAATGTTTCTAGTAGTTTTTTATCTCTTGACTCAAAGATCAATCTATTTTTGCTTCTTTAATCAAAAGTGGTTTAAATATAGATTGGGTCTTTGGGGGCTTATTACACCAATTTGAGCCTGATGTTTATTTGCTGCCCTTTTGTGCTCTAGCCTTTCTGACTTTCTTTTTGCAATTATTAGCTACTTATTCATATGCCTTATTGGTGATTATATCCATCTTCCATTGCCTGTACATGTCATTTTTTGAATCTTAGCTCAGTGATAGTTCTACATGCATCCACAATGGTTTACTAAGCTTCTGCTTATTTTTTTCTCATTGGAGTCTTATTTTTGAGAAGTTCTTACCTCCTCACTCCCTGGGACCTGAGGATTTCTGCTTAATACTGTGTATGATTATGCTCTGATTTCCCTTTCAGGAAGGCTACTGAGCCATTTCATAGTCCTTAAGTCATGGATGCAGGTGCTTCCTGTCTCCAATCCAAGAATTCCTCATGTTTTCTGATATGCTGGAAGTGTATGTGTGTGTATGTGTATGTGTGTGGGTGGGTGGACACTTTGCCTCTAGCCCTTTCACCTTCTCTTCCATACTTACAGTGTTTGCAGTTTTTGTTATATTCAGGGAGGGAACTGGACATGGCAAGTCCCTTGCAGATCTCTCTATTTCCATACTCTTCCCATGTATAAGAAACAGAGAGAGGAAGATGCCTCTCCACTGACCTCCCCTGCCAAACTGCTCTCTCTGTTTGCTTGCTCTCTGGAATCTGGTTTTCTTACATTCCCCCCTTGGTCACCTAGGTCAACAGGAAGCAACGCTCAGATCACGCCCCATGGGCAGCCAGTGGCAATCAGAAGCACAGTGTGTAATCTGCGGCACTCAGGAAACAGTCAGTAGCAGCCAGTCAGTCAGCAATCACTTCCCCTTCTTGGCTCTTCCTTTCTTTCCTCCCTACTCTTTCTTCTGCCTCTTCCTTCTACATAGTTGAACTCCTCTCCAAACTCCGACTTGCTCTTCTGTTTCCTCACTCAGTGGGGTCACACCCAAAGAGTAACAGCAAGATTAAGCAGGAGAGTAAAGAAAGTAAAGAGACTTGGACACATTGCCTGCCCTCACACACCCCTGACACCTATACTCAGCATGTGTGATATCTAAATGAGGCATCATTTTTATCTGATATGTAAATGTATATTATATATATGTCCATTTGTTTAGGCAAGTAAGTTGATTGATTGTTCAGATTCTACATTTGTTTTACCATGAGAATTTCTGTAATGATTACATTGGACTATGTTGTTAAAAATATGCGCTTAACTGTACATTTTTTAAAAAATGGATTTCCTTTACAGAAGATCTTGATGATTTAAGAATGGAAGGGGTAACCAGCGTGGTCTCTACTGGAAGCAAATTTAACCAGACTCGAAGTTCACATACAGCTGAACCACAAGCCAAAGTCACCCTGAACATCTGCGCAAGATGTGCCAGGTAAATAATAGACAGGCATTGGAGGGTGGAATTTACAGCTCTACCTGCTAGGCCTGGAAAAGAGGAAGATGCGTTATCTTAGATATAGATACAGGAACTGTCTATTTTAATTTTTATTTCAGATTTGCATTGTTCTTCATCTGAAATGAATGTAAGAAATCTACCTTCTGGGAACAAAGAAGTTAAGAGCTTTGAAAATTGTGGCTTTTATTAGTTGAGGCTTTCTTTGGATCTGAGGATATGGGAGGTTCAGAAGAAGGAGCCTTAATCTGAATGGAGTGAAATCATTTTGAATGATGTGTTTTCCTTTTCCTACTGTTGCTAATTGAACATACAGGTAGTCCTCACTTAGCAACTGCCTCGAACAGCATTCGATGGTGATGAAAAAGTAATTTTGCAACCAATACTTGCATTTACGACCTTTGCAGCATCTCTCTTTCAATCATGTGTTCACCATTACAGTCAGTTAATATGCTTTGTCCTGTGTAAAATTGTGAGGACAGTCACAGTCACATGATTTTTCACTTAGTGACTACTTCACTTAATGTCTGAGTTGCTAGTCTCAGTTGTGGTCGCTAAATGAGGGCTATCTGTATTTAGGATTGAGACAGAATTGCTGGCATTATTTTTATACTTTGCAACATTCACAGTAAAAGCATACCAAATTGCTACAAGACAATGTTACATTACACCTTGGAATTATTTTCATTTTTCTGCCTTTAACTTTGATTAACCTGCATTCCTGTGGCTCTTTGAGGATGATCTAAATTATTTACAGTCTCAGAAATACACCTGTGTAAATGAAGATTTGGTTGCATGGATATCTTCTGGGAGTTCATGCAGTTGCCTTATAATACTTCATAATCCTAACCCTTTGGAAGGAATCAAATCAAAACGAAGCCTTTCTGGCTTTGGCAGCTGGAACTTATTTTTTCCATATGACAGCCATAACTTGGAGCAGTCAAATCAACTGAAAAGGTAACATTACACATCCTTTGATTTCTTTTTCAAACCTTCGTTTTGGAGCAGGGCTTTTCGGCAGCAGTATTAGCCAACTCTATTGATAAGTGGTAGAAATGGGTAAAAACATTATTGGATAGATAATGTCTGTATAGATGTAGATAGAACACACACACATACACATGAACTATATTTTCATGCCTCTAAAAATTCTACTATGCTTTTTCAAAGGAGATTAATGAAAAGGTGATAACAAACACCTTTTGGGAAAGAACAGTTGTTTTTGCTCCTAGTTCTGCAATCTCTCAGACAATGAGGAGCAGAAAACCACTTTGCCCCTTCTCCATTGCCAGGGGATGGATCTTTGTATGCTGGGAGAACTGGAGTCATAAGACCCACCTCCCCCCTCACTCCCTGCTTTTCCTGGCACCAAAGAGTTGGCAAGGAAACTGGGAAATCCCTGACTTTTCTACTGCCAAAAGGCCAATGACCCTAAAAATGAGTGGTTGGAAAGGGGGCCATGCCCTCATTATGGCCCTCATCTCCAAACCTAGCATAGAATGATTGTCTGCAGACTGACCACTTGGAGTGGCTTGTGCTGGCAAAGATGGAAACACTCTACTCCTGTATTGGAATAGGAAAGATAGGGAGAGGCTGCCTGCAAGGCAAGCTGAGGACAGGATCAGGAAAACATTGTTTATTCGTGTCTTCAAAAAAACATAAGTAACTCATCTTTGCTCTGGGGCAAGCAGAACACATGTATGACCCCTTACAGAAGATGCTGGATTAGATGGCCCATTAGCCTGATGAAAGTAGGTCTATTCTTAAGTCCTTATATACCTTGGGTTAGATCACGGTAAATAGTCTTCACTATTTTCCTGTTATTTCCTGTCAATTTGCATTTTATGTGATATAAATATCACATAATAATTGCTAAACAGATTAGTGCACACTTTTTTGATGACTTTGTGGATCTTCTCTCCTGTACCATTCACATTTCACAAACAATGCTAAATCCTGAGCTCCAATTACTAACAACAGAAAGACTGTTCTACCTCTTTAAGTCATATGAGGGTCTTTTGAGAAAAACAAGAGGACCAAGGAACTAAGTTTGACTTAGAGATATTGTAAGTCATGTGAGATGTATGACCTCAGATTCATAATCAACATTAGATTTGGGGCATACTACATGTTTGGGAAAAGTTATTTCTCTTCTATTAACATATTAGGCAAGTTTAAACTTTAAAATACGATTAGATAAGAATTGAAATAGTGTGCAAAATATCTACAAGTCTTTCTCTGTAACCAGTCTTTTCATTGTCCCTCTGCTGCCTAATTTCTAAGGCATACACTTTGGAGGTGGGAGAAATGGAAACTGTTTCTGGAAATGGCTGTCAAAGCAGACTTAGACTAATTCTTTATACTTTTTACTGGTTTAGTTCTGATAACTCTGGTGACAGACACAAGGGGCTTTGGGGGAGCAAAGGTGTTCAATACAGTTTCCTCAGTTCTCAGATGATTTAGCCCCTACAGCTGTGTCTCTGGGCAATATTAGGTTTCAGAGAGATGATTTTGGCCAGAAGATGTTCGTGCTTCATATTTTCAATAAGTGAAATGTATAAGAGAGAATGGTAGACAGACAGCTTATAAGCACTGCATGCTGATTAGCTCTATAAATATTTGGACTGCAGTTAGAGAAATACAGAGCATTATAACTAAAACATGTTATAGAAATATGACATACCCAAACCCATCATTTTTGTGGTAACAGGTATGTTTATTCTTTCCTTTGCAGCCTTTGTAATATAGCTTTAATTCCCTCTTCACTTTATGTCACTTATATGTTGCCTTCATAATATATCATTAAATATCACATCAATCATTATTGGGATTTGGGAAAAATCTCATAAAAAGTGGAGGAATTTATGTGTTGAGCGAATTACGAAGCAAAAAGAAGAAACCACTTCCCTTATAAAATACGCCCCAGTGAATCCAGAGGGGGATTTGTCTGTTTAAGTAAGCACAGGACGGTTTTCCCACTCTCAGGTAAAGTAAGTATCTTTGAATTTAGTGAACATATTTCTCAGAAACATGGTTAGGGTAGGTAAAAGATAGCACAGTATAAAGTATATGTTTACATTCATTTAAGTCTTGTTAACTTAGTAGTACTCTTAGTTAAATTGTGGCTAAATAGAAAATGTATATAGTAAACTAAAAACAATCATTTTGAATCCTGTGCTGCTAAATCAGTTTCATGGTGAACTCCATGTGAATTTCTCCTTGTGAAAGAAATGTCTAAATCTCATTATGTCCAAAATCTGAGCTTTGTCATGGAGAAATAGGAGAGGAGATTTATGTTGCAGCTTAACCAAAATCTCATGGGACATGGAATTTCCCTAGTTGACCACATTTTCCCATTGAGTAAATCCAAAAATAACACATAAAAATGCTAATGTGATAATCAAAACATTCCCAGTTTTAAAGTGTTCTAGAGATCATCATAAAGAATTGCTCTCAGTGTTAGGGAAAGGAAACATTACTGTCCTTCAGTTGCATAATGTATATAATATACATTCTGCAATAATACATATATATCCCTGTGGGTTTTGTTTTAAACCTTTAAAAGACAAATGTACAAGAATGTTTTCTATTTATTTTGACAAATTATTTTTCAGAGTTAAATCCAAAAATCCCCTTTGCCTATTTTTTCTGAAGAAATCACTGAGATTTTTAAATAGTAACCTTTTAATAGATCAGATCAGTCTTTACCTAATAACACAATTTAATATTCTCAAACAAAATTAACAGTGGTTAGTAATAGAACCTGATTCCAATAAGATATGAATGTTTACTGGAGATAGGAGTGTTAGTTTGAAGGCAGTGTTTACAAATACTGATAAAGGTGGCCCTGTTGGCTTGGATTCTAACTTTCCATCAAATAAAGTGATTTCATGTTCACAGGATGGACATAGCCTTCCCTCCCTCTCTCTCTCTCTCTCACTCTCTCTCTCATTGGAACATTTGCTCCTTTGTACTATAAATGAAATTGCTTATGCCAGTCACAAGATAGTCAACATTTCTGTGGGTTTCTTGTTTTGTTCCGAAGCTGAAGTTGGTGCCAATAACAGGAAGCTATTTTTTTCTTACATGATAGAGAAAATAATATAGAAAATATTGCTGTTAAATTATATATGCCTAGATTTTGTGGTAGCATTAAATAATTATAACTCCTTTCATATTTTTTACCCTAAGAAAATATATATCCAATTTGTTGGGTTTGGATAATAACTTAAAAAAAAAGGTGCTTATTTAAATGCACAAGGAGCCAGATTAATAACTTTTGAGAATGCAAAGCTTGCTGATTGATTGATTGATTGATTGATTGAGCTGATTGCACTTCAGTACTGCTAAATCAGCCAAGGATTTCTAGTAGATTACAATTAATAATTAAAATATCCATGGTACAAATAATTAAAACCTGTGTTAACGTCAACATAATCCCAGAGGTTCTATGGAACCATTATCATCTAACCAAAAATAACATCATAAGTACAATAATACCATATGGCTACAATATGTTTTACATGGGGATGTCTTTCTTTTAATAAAAACTTTATTATATTATATAAAAAGTACAATTAAAATACAAAACAGTACAGCAAAGAAAGAGGATAGAACTTTTAAATTATAATTCAACGTAAATTTCAAACCTTTATTCCACAGATTTTCCCATTGTTCCAACATAATATTGTGTCCAAAGTTTTTAGCTCATTTGATCATGCAGTCCTTGACTTGTTCATCTTCTAAATTCATCTGTAACAACATCTTATACATTTTAGCAATAACATGTTCAGTATTTGTACAAAGTTGAATCTCAAACTAAGTTGTTTCATTAACAAATCTATAATTCTTTTTGTCCAACTTGAAACATTCAAACAATTGCATATGAGTAAACTAATGACATATAAAACCTAACTGTTCTCTTGTTTTAAAACTTGGTTCACCCTCCTCAAAATTTAACAAGTCTTTATA